GGGTGTCGGCACGAGCCCGGGGCTGCGAACCGGCCTGCTTCCTGCCATGGAGGCGGGTGCCCACGCCGTGCCTCAGTTTCCCTCCCTGTGACGGGGATGATTCTGCCTCCCGGGGAGAGAGGTTGTGAGGCCTAATTCATGAAGCATATGCTGCACTTTGGGCTCCTGCCCTGGCAAAGGGCTGGGGGCGGGGGGACTGTTCCAGGCTGGTGCTGTCGTGGCATCAGCTGAGCATGGCTCTCCTGCCTCCCGGGGAGAGAGGTTGTGAGGCCTAATTCATGAAGCATATGCTGCACTTTGGGCTCCTGCCCTGGCAAAGGGCTGGGGGCGGGGGGACTGTTCCAGGCTGGTGCTGTCGTGGCATCAGCTGAGCATGGCTCTAACCCCTAGGTGATGCTGCCTCCGGCCCGTAGAAGGGGGACAAGCCCTTACGTTGTTGTGCGATTCTGGCAGGGAGAGAGGTTGTGAGGCCTAATTCATGAAGCATATGCTGCACTTTGGGCTCCTGCCCTGGCAAAGGGCTGGGGGCGGGGGGACTGTTCCAGGCTGGTGCTGTCGTGGCATCAGCTGAGCATGGCTCTAACCCCTAGGTGATGCTGCCTCCGGCCCGTAGAAGGGGGACAAGCCCTTACGTTGTTGTGCGATTCTGGCAGGCGGCCTGCCGTCACCCCTCGCCCAGGTGCAGACCTGCTGCCTTGACCCGGGGCCCCTGGAGTAGAGGAGACCTCCCGGCCCCGCCCTGCTCAGTGCATCCCTGGGGCTGCAGCTCCTGGGTCCTGCGCTCTGGCCCCCTTTGCTCCCCTGCAGTGGGGCGGTGCAGACCTTGTGCCATGATCCGGAAGAAGGGGTCAGAGGCAGGCGCTCAGGACACCAGCCTGCTCATCGCCCTGGACAGAAGCCCGTACAATCCTGGAGTAGAGGAGACCTCCCGGCCCCGCCCTGCTCAGTGCATCCCTGGGGCTGCAGCTCCTGGGTCCTGCGCTCTGGCCCCCTTTGCTCCCCTGCAGTGGGGCGGTGCAGACCTTGTGCCATGATCCGGAAGAAGGGGTCAGAGGCAGGCGCTCAGGACACCAGCCTGCTCATCGCCCTGGACAGAAGCCCGTACAATGGGGCACCCTCCGCCGGCTTCGTGAGTACGGGGGCATGCGGGGAGAGCGGCTAACCGGGGCCTTGCTGGCGGCGCCGGGCCGCTGCGTAGGAGGGGTCCGCTCCCCCAATCCCAGCACAACACCCGAGACGGCCAGGGAGGGCCCAGGTGTCGCCAGCCGGGGGGTGTTCGCTGCTGTGGCCTGGCTCAGGGCCTGGTCGGGGAGGGGGGGAGGTGGTTCCTTGTGTTCCAGGTGAGGGTGCAGTTGGTTTCGTGTGTCCAGAGCATCCACACCTGTGCCACCCCCTGACTCACACTCATGAGCGCTTGTGCACCCCCTGAGCAGGGTGTGCTGCTGGGAGAGACTCCTCTGGATCACTGCAGGGGCAGCTACTGGCTCCCAGTCCCAACTGTGCCAGCAGCACAAAGTGCCCCGCAGCTCCCAACGGCCTCTGTGGGCCTGAGGGGGGATCTGGAAACAGAGCCCCCTCCCCCCAGGCTCCCCAGTGCCCACCCTACCTGCAGACTCTGCTCTTCCCAGGGGGTGGAGGGACGGACGCACTTGTGGGAGGGAGCCGGGCTCCCCGGCCCTTGGGGGCTCTGTTCCCACTAGCAGCCGGCAGCACCAACACAAAGAGCCACTCAGGCCGATCCAGCAGCCACCGTCAACATCCCTGCCCCCACCCCCCCCAGACTGCTGCCCTGAGAGCGGCCCCGGGCTCCCAAGCACCTGCCTCCACAGCCCCATGGCTCCACATGGGCATCCCCGGGGCATCTCCCTCGTGGGGCCTGGCCCAGCCGGAGCTGCAAAGGCGGCCGGTAGAATCCCTGCAGGAGTTTGGGGGGAGGGGGGCGAGCAACAGCAGTTGGATCTGCCCAGCCCCCCTCATTCCCAAAGCACCTCCCAGCCCTGCTGCTGCCCTGGGCGAGGTGGGTTCACGGCGGGGCTGGGCCCTGGCAAGTGGTCAAGGGCAGCACTTTGCTGTGGTGGGATGGGGGCTGTGGGGCGGAGGTTGGGTGCAGCGCGTGTGCGTGCGCGTGTGCGCGTGTGTGTGTGCGCGTGTGTGTGTGCGCGTGTGTGCGTGTGTGTGCGCGTGTGTGTGCGCGTGTGTGCGTGTGTGTGCGTGTGCGCGTGTGTGTGTGTGCGCGCGCGTGTGTGTGTGTGTGCGTGTGCGCGTGTGTGCGTGTGTGTGTGCGCAGCCCAGGGGCTGCCTGATTTGAGCCCAGCCCCAGGGGGAATCCTCAGGAAGCTGGTTTCTTGCTCTTCCATGTGCCGATCCCCCCCTGCGCTAATGAAATCGGGGTCCCTGAGGTGGAGGAGACTTGAAACAGACCCAGAGCAGCAGAAGCCTAGGGATGGGATAGCCGTGGGCTGTGGGGCAGGACTGAGGGGCACAGGAAGGGCTGGGGTGGGGTTAACCCACGGCTGGGGTAGCTGTGGGGCTGTGGGGCAGGACCGTGGGGCATGGGAAGGGCTGGGGTGGGGTTAACCCACGGCTGGGGTAGCTGTGGGGCTGTGGGGCAGGACCGTGGGGCATGGGAAGGGCTGGGGTGGGGTTAACCCACGGCTGGGGTAGCTGTGGGGCTGTGGGGCAGGACCGTGGGGCATGGGAAGGGCTGGGGTGGGGTTAACCCACGGCTGGGGTAGCTGTGGGGCTGTGGGGCAGGACCGTGGGGCATGGGAAGGGCTGGGGTGGGGTTAACCCACGGCTGGGGTAGCTGTGGGGCTGTGGGGCAGGACCGTGGGGCATGGGAAGGGCTGGGGTGGGGTTAACCCACGGCTGGGGTAGCTGTGGGGCTGTGGGGCAGGACCGTGGGGCATGGGAAGGGCTGGGGTGGGGTTAACCCACGGCTGGGGTAGCTGTGGGGCTGTGGGGCAGGACCGTGGGGCATGGGAAGGGCTGGGGTGGGGTTAACCCACGGCTGGGGTAGCTGTGGGGCTGTGGGGCAGGACCGTGGGGCATGGGAAGGGCTGGGGTGGGGTTAACCCACGGCTGGGGTAGCTGTGGGGCTGTGGGGCAGGACCGTGGGGCATGGGAAGGGCTGGGGTGGGGTTAACCCACGGCTGGGGTAGCTGTGGGGCTGTGGGGCAGGACCGTGGGGCATGGGAAGGGCTGGGGTGGGGTTAACCCACGGCTGGGGTAGCTGTGGGGCTGTGGGGCAGGACCGTGGGGCATGGGAAGGGCTGGGGTGGGGTTAACCCACGGCTGGGGTAGCTGTGGGGCTGTGGGGCAGGACCGTGGGGCATGGGAAGGGCTGGGGTGGGGTTAACCCACGGCTGGGGTAGCTGTGGGGCTGTGGGGCAGGACCGTGGGGCATGGGAAGGGCTGGGGTGGGGTTAACCCACGGCTGGGGTAGCTGTGGGGCTGTGGGGCAGGACCGTGGGGCATGGGAAGGGCTGGGGTGGGGTTAACCCACGGCTGGGGTAGCTGTGGGGCTGTGGGGCAGGACCGTGGGGCATGGGAAGGGCTGGGGTGGGGTTAACCCACGGCTGGGGTAGCTGTGGGGCTGTGGGGCAGGACCGTGGGGCATGGGAAGGGCTGGGGTGGGGTTAACCCACGGCTGGGGTAGCTGTGGGGCTGTGGGGCAGGACCGTGGGGCATGGGAAGGGCTGGGGTGGGGTTAACCCACGGCTGGGGTAGCTGTGGGGCTGTGGGGCAGGACCGTGGGGCATGGGAAGGGCTGGGGTGGGGTTAACCCACGGCTGGGGTAGCTGTGGGGCTGTGGGGCAGGACCGTGGGGCATGGGAAGGGCTGGGGTGGGGTTAACCCACGGCTGGGGTAGCTGTGGGGCTGTGGGGCAGGACCGTGGGGCATGGGAAGGGCTGGGGTGGGGTTAACCCACGGCTGGGGTAGCTGTGGGGCTGTGGGGCAGGACCGTGGGGCATGGGAAGGGCTGGGGTGGGGTTAACCCACGGCTGGGGTAGCTGTGGGGCTGTGGGGCAGGACCGTGGGGCATGGGAAGGGCTGGGGTGGGGTTAACCCACGGCTGGGGGTGTCTGCTCCAGGGCCCAAGGCCAGGCCCCCTGCAGCCCCAGGGCAATCTCTGCTCACGCCAGCTGTGGGGAGCCCCCGCTGCATGTGCTGGAGGGAGGATCACATTCCTCCCAGCAGGGGGCGGTGGGGGCAGCA